TTATTATTATTTAGTGTTTTGTCTGACGACATGTCCATATGAACAGGATCCTTCCATCCTTTTCTCGGACTGGGACCTGTTCATATACGTTCTTGGCAGATGATCCAGAAGTGGTTTGCCATTGCCTTCTTCTGTGTGTGAATGGGATGCCACGGAGAAACCGGGGAAGCCCCCGGAGGAAAACTCCGTGTTGCCTAGAACACGGCCTTGCCCAATGATCTCATAAGACATGTTTATTATAATCAGTAGCTTACATACCAACAAATTCTTTAGCGATATAACCCAAGTTCAGTTCGCACTTGGCCATCACAATCTATGTTTGTAGGAGTCATCTCTTTATTATCCTTCTGTATTCTCAATTCTTCAATGCTGTACAGAGTTCCTGTCTTCAATGTTCAGTTGATCATAATCTTGATTTCATTATCGTAACATCAATAGTTTGGCCTTTGTAACTATGAATTTTTTCATTATATATCATAAATTCCCATCTGGAAACTTTGTTGCATACATAAATTATGAGGGGACGTGTTAGAACTGCATTCATCAATTGGTAAATAATTGTTTCATATACAACTTCATTTGTAATAGTTCAGAGATTACTGGGTTGCCTTGATTTCTTGTGTTAACGTAAAGTTCTAAAATATCCAGAGATTGTTCATGATAGTTTGAATGTACGTTTTCCAGGACAGTGGATATATAAAACCTGGCCATCACAATCTCCTGACCTCACTTCAATAGATTTTAGTTATAGAATGTGGTAAAATAAGTAGACTGGACCATTTTAAGCAAAGAATCGAAATCACTGTTTAATGTATAACTTAAGCTATTCTCAAAAATGGTGTAGCAATTAATAACAATTTTGTGTTTCATTCATGTTTCTAGCATTAATTGTTACAAAATTGCAGAGCTTGAAAACATTATGGTGATACTGGACTTCAAAGTTAATATATTTGCGTAGCATAAATAACTTTATTTTATGTTTCTTCGAGAAATTTATTATATTCATAATACATACATCGTTTATAACCTAATAAATGGGAACGTATATTTTCTATAGTTATTGGGAAAATGCATTGCATGTAAACTATTCCTTAATGAAAAATACAAGAACGTAACTTCTCTTTCCTGTTCATTACATAACCCAGTAATCTTTGACAGGGAATTCACTTCAGTCCACGAAGATATCCTATGCTTATAATAATTGTATCTTTATCTGATCTCGTTTGTTTTATAGTTTAGTTGTATATATTGGATATTGGGTACTGGGAACGACCCGTTCTTCAAGTGCCTGAGCACTGCGGGTCCCAACTTTTCGTTGTCTCGATATATAGACATTCGGTAGGACTCCTTGGATGAGGGATCGGCCCATCGCAAGGCCTCTACCTGTACACAGGACAGCACGACACAGAAAAAACATCCATGGATTGAGTGGGATTCGAACCTACGGTCCCAGACCGCGTGGCCACTGCGGACCCCTTAGTTATAAATGATTATGTTTTATTTCTAATGTTTTGTTCTTATCTTTTATGATCCACTTTCATTGACTAGATTTTAGGAAATGAATTTTTTAATATGTTCCAAACATCGACTCTTTTTTGTCAACAAAGTGGAGTAAAGAAGTTTCTGATTTTATTTTTCAGTTCTGTTTATGTTTTTCTGTTTATTACGTTGTGTCATTTATTTTAAGTTCATTTCTGTTTTCAGAGTTGCAGGAGGGAGGGATGGAGTTTCTGGTTGATGGGCTGAATCTGACAAAAACAGCAAAGAAGAAATTAGATAAACTAAATAAAATCAATATCCACTCACATGGTAAGAAACACAGTGGATGGCCTCTGTTTCATAAATGCTGGGTACGCGATGTGTACCTACGGGGATTATCCCGTTAGTCGTATTTGTGAACTAAGCTAGGTCAGCGTTTCTTAAAGGGTGTACCAGTAACTTTAGTAACACGTGACTTTGTACCATGATTAAATTAGTCTATGTGAAAACCTTATAAAATATGCGAATTGTTCCGTAGTCACGGTAAAATTTCCATGTTGTAAAACTTTATTGATTTCAAATACCGGTAATACTTTAAAGTCTGTATTTATATTGGCACTGATATTCTTTGCTTAAAGCCTAGATAATTTCAGCGTATTCATCTCGTGATCTGTATTTTCCATACAAATATTATTTTTAGAATCATTCAGTTGCAAGTACATATTATCCTCTAAAGCAGTGGTATTCAACCTGGGGTACGCGAAAATATCTTAGGGGGTACGCGAAAATATCTTAGGGGGTACGCGAAAATATCTTAGGGGGTACGCGAAAATATCTTAGGGGGTACGTGAAATTTTAAAAAAATATATATTATTTTATGATAAACACTGAATAATCAGTAATGTAATTTATTTAATTTATTTTAGATGTAGATTATATACTATGTATAACTTGAATTATACACCAACAACTTTGGGGGTAGAAAGTTGAAGAGAAATTATATCTGGGGGTACGCGAACAAAAAAAGTTTGAATACCACTGCTCTAAAGTGAAATCAAGTCTAAGTTTTTTGACTATATCAGATCACTACTAATGAATTTTTTGAGTAGGAAAATATATGAGAATGATTAAACTATTATAAAAGATTATAAAATTTCGCTTGTAGCTTCACAAAGACAGACTTGCTTGACATTCGGAGATAAGGAGGAAATTCTTCACGCATTCCTGGGTCAGCATCGTACTCCAAAACCCTCAAATGACTACACTCTGTGCTCTTTGAAGAGAAAATTGTAGAAGTGAGGAACGATTGATTCCATTTTGACTGATGAAGGAAATAAACTATACGTCTTGCATTTGAACTTACAGAAATTATAAACTAAATTCAGTATGAGATTATTTATAAAGAAAATGTTGTTAAATGTGAACACTCTGGCGACATAAAAACTTTTAAAATAATTGAAAGTGTCCTGAGGACATGCATTTATAGGGGAAAGAGGATAGTAGAATACGTACATTCTCAGTGAGGAGTTAATGTATATGAGAGAGCGTTTTATCTGCAGATGGAAGTGAATCAGGTTACAGCATCAGTGAAATTAGAGGAATTTTTCTGTTTTTTCAGCACTGTTTGTGGCTGTTGAACATGGTCATGTGGACAGAGCACGCACTATTCTCGAGTCCACAGATGTTGATGTCAACAGGTAAGTACACACATTTCCTTATGATAGTCATTGATTGTCACAGTGTAATGGTTAGCATTGCTCAGTTTTTTCAAGCATACGTGCGTTAATACTCTAGAATAGTCTATAAATGTCATCCTGTCATTTTCAATCAACACTACCAACCTTTACAGTTGAAAATATTCATTTGCTGGTATTTTATGAATATAGTACAGGTAGCCCTCGATTTGCGCCGATTCAGAATAACGCCGATTTTGAAACCAGCAATTCAAAAAATAAAAAAAAATACTGTTATTTATAAAGTTTTACAATGTTTCTCGTACTGATTCTTATACTAAATCGTAATTCTCACATCGCTGATTTTGAAGAAAAATTATAAATACAGTCATCTCTGCAATTACGTATGTTTCGTTTACGCGAATTTGCTCCAATGAGATCGATGAATAGATAAAAGTTGTTTGTGAAATGCAAACTTTTGCATATGCGAGTTTGCTCTTACGAGATCACATGAAAGAATCGCAGACAATCGCGGGGACCAACGAATTGTCGATTGTAAGTGTATAAAATATATTTTTTAAATTCCAATTATTTTATTTACATTATTTCAGATCTTTAAATATAATGTCGTTATATTACTCGTCAATGTTTGGGTGCTGGGAACGCGTGTCATTGAATTCCCATTGATTTACTTTATAAAAGAGATTCAATTTACGCCGATTCCGTTTACGCCGGTTCGTCCAGGAACGCATCCCCGGCGTAAATCGAGGGCTACCTGTATATATGGCTATAGTAGTTAATATTGTACATTCAGACCAGAAGAATTTCTTATGTTTGAAGACAAACAAATAATAGAAGCTTACCCCATTTTAAATTGTTTAAAAAGGTTCCTAGCAGATGATAATTTAGAATCTATAAATTGTAATATATTCAAAACATGTTTCCCATCCCAAATCCCACATACATGCGATAAATAATAAAACATTAATTTCTGTTACCATCAGTTGGACAAAAGAATACTGCAAGTATAATTAAAATTAAATTAATTTAAGATCGTAAAATGTTAAATTACTTGTTTGTTGATTTTCAGTGTAAACAGTGACGGACTGTCACCACTGGATGTGGCGGTTCTAAACAATAATCGACAACTTGCCAAGATGCTGGTGACATTTGGTGCTCAGGAGGGAAATCAATGTGTGTATTCAACTTGTTGGCTGAACAAAATATGCTTTATGATTACACAAAACTTCATTGTCATCACAGTAGAAAGTAAATGCTGGACATATTTAAGAATTTTATTTATTTTTAGTCGAGAGTCCCGAGTCGTTGGGCAGTCACTTAAAGCAGTTATTAGCAGAAGCAGAGCAGCAAGTGAAGCGACTTGGCGGAGGTGTCGGCAGCGGTGAACAACTGACCTTGGACGAAACACCAGGTTACAACAACAACAACAATAATAACCACCATCACCATAACATCATCAACAACCATTCCTCCTCATCTCCATTTAGCGTGATTGGGAGCAGCATGGCAACAGCAGCCATGTCCGGCTGCGGCGGAGGAACTGATGCGGCCACGGACAAGCAGCTGTTATTGTGGGAGAGGAGAGTAAAGGGCCTGAAGAAGATGCTGCTCGGCTTTGATCAAGCTCGTGAGTGTAATTTTATGGGATTTGAGACTTTCGCGGCGAGCACAATCGATAAAATCTTCTCGGGCAATCAGCCGCGTTAACAGGCGACTTCCGAGGATCCGGTCACATCAGAACCCTGAAGATGGGATGAAAACAGAGTTTGCTCCCAGTATCTGATAAATTGAAAATTTCATAACATTTTTATTTTGTATCAGTGGATTTACATGTGTTAAACTTAGGAATATAGTTACAGTTATGTAGATAGTTTACTTTTACAGAAATAAGACAAAAAAAGGGACATAAGCTGTTTTAATTTAAAAAATATGACAATACATAAGTATCTTCCATACAGATTGTTTCCAAGAATAAAACTCGAAAAGTCTTACCTCGCCACAGTTGTATAACAATCCGCTCCTACCTTAACATGTTCACCAACCATGAGAAACATAAATGAAGTTTAGGTACAAACCTCTCATATTATCTTGTACGTTATGACTGGGAAAGTGTTTCACTGTAATTGAAATGCAATTTCTTATGTGCTATTTTCAGGACCCCCTGATGCACCATTCTTAGTGGCTGTGGATGTGACAGGTACACATTCTGTTACGGTTCGATTCCAGGAACCTGATCAGCAGGATTCACCCATCTGTACAAAGTTTAAAGGTAATCTTTATACATATGAAATTACTTGTTTATAATGTTGTAAAATAGATATGAATTTTGTTGGCTAGCAAACTCCCTGAAGCATAGCACTTCTTGAGAAGCTAATAGTACAGAATGGTGTAGGTCAGTGACCAGTGGTCCCCAATGCGGTGCCGGCCAAGGCTTTTTTTTTGGGGTGCCCGCGTTGTTACGGAAAGAGGTTATACTGAATAATGAAGGCCGTTCAACCATGAACATTATAAAATCAAAGCGCAGATCTTGACTTATTGACGCCCATCTTGACGATTGTTTGCAAACAGCAACATCATCCTACACTCCCAAATTTGAAAAACTGGCCGATGAAATGCAGTGCCAAACATCACACTAACTTCCCACTTGAGTAATAATAATTGTACTTATAAAAGTATGTATCTTTGATTGCGTGGTTTCTTGTATCATTAAACGTCGTGTTGTTTTGTGTATTATTTGGTGTCCATATCTTATTTATCCAGAGAAAAGAAAATTTGGCTTTGTTAATTGGTTGGTGCCCGCCACGATCTCATAAACTCTCAAATGTGCCCGTAGGCACAAAAAGGTTGGGGACCACTGGTGTAGGTCATCAAAAATGTTTAGACTGTGTAGACCTACGTGGCAGAAATGAAGAGATACATTTCAAAGAAAGATCACTTTACTCATATTATTGTATAATGCTGCTTAGTGGCATGAAAATCCTTATTAATATGTCATGGAAGAGGCACAGTTACACTGTAAATAAAAAATGTAATGTAACATAATATTCTGTTTAACAGTGCAGTGGAGCTGTAATGAGAATTTCAGTCCACTGGCAGGTGAGAGAGAGATCCTTGATATGAAGCGTCTTGAATGTAACATCAGTGACCTTGCACAGGGCTGTAGGTACTACTTTAGGGTTGCATGTGGCAACCTTAAGGGGTATGGAAACTTCAGGCTTTCTAGTCCTGCTTCTGTGATTCCCTCAAGTAAGTTAACAAAGAAAATAGTTTGTTTTATGTAAGAAATATATTACATAATTCTGATATATACTAAATATATATGTCTCTTAAGATTAGTTGTATCTAGATATAGTATACAAATGAGACTAGAAGAAATACTTCATAATGGAGCATTAAAATTCTTAAAGTATTTTTGTTGTTGTTTCAGAGTAGTTTGAATTGTGATATTGCCACTGCAGACAATCCTTCCATTTCTCTGTTTTTCATTTCAGAGTAGTTTGAATTGTGATATTGCACACTGCAGACAATCCTTCCACTTCTCTGTTTTTCAATGATTAGGGCTTAACACTAATATATTATATGCAGTTGCACAAAATAAGTTGGGTATTTCTGTCTTTCTGTGTGAGGCTTTTGTGTTTGTGTGTGTGTGTAATTTGTGTTGGAGACATTCCCATTTTATTTGTATTCTTGAAAAAACAACTGTTTCCATCCACAGGCAAAAAGATAGGAGGTAACTACTCATTTGGGTCTGTTATAAAATGTTATCTCTAATTGTTCTGTACAATCATCAGAACTCTTTACAACTGACCTTGGTTGCACTATCTCCTGTTTAACTTGATCACCACCAAGGTCAATTCATTTTTCCTGTCAGCACGTCAGACAATCCAAGAGGTGCAGATTCAGAAAGCAACCAAAGACCGCAGTCATCCTTTTCCTTTTAAATAAGCAATATAGTGGGTTCTTCAATTTATTTATTGGCAGTGCATTTATGAACATTCTTGTTTTCTTCATTTTATAAGAAGAAAATTATGATATTCTTTTTCTTGTTTTCTGTTAAACTGAAAACTTAACAAGGAATAAACTGTCAACACATCTTTAATTAACAAGAACATAGAAAATGGTGTGCTAAGAGTACCATTACATAAGTGAAAGAATATCAGTAAAGCATCCTGTTTACCCAGTCTTTATTTTTCACCACAAAGTTTTAGAAGGAGAAATCTATTTTATTTCCCTAAATTTCTCACAGAGTATTTCATTGATCTGCCATCTGTAGGTTGGAGAGATGTGACTGGCCGTGAACCAAGGTTTGCTGGACGACTCCATCTATTGGATGACTTGTTTTCCAAAATCTGTCACTCCAGGCCAGAATGTGCAGCAGAGATCAAAGTCACAACCACAACTGCTCAACCTGGTGAGACACCCAGTGTCCAGCGTCGCAACCAGCGCAGCAAAAAGACAGCTATAAAGCAACTGTTCACTGTTGCTTCCAAGTTTCAGAAAAATCTACGAAGGTACATGACATGGAATTGTTAAAATACTTGAGTCACTGAATCATTCGGTGTTAACAGTATTCAGGTCATAGATATGAGTTTTGTAATATTCTTACAAAACTGTTAATTTGTTTGTTTAATTAACCACCAACACAAGGTTAAGAATATAAGAATGTGTGGAGCTGAACTTCAATTTGTCCTATACGCCTTTGTGTTGTGGTGTTTAAGGATACGAATGGCTTCACATTTTTTTAAAAATTGTGTTGTAAACTTTGATGTTGAAAAACTCTTTTATTTGGAGGCAACCTGTAGTTGTTCCAGTCAAATCTTGATCATTACACTCTACAAGGCTGCTTATAAGCTTTGCATTATGAATATCAATGTATGGTAATTCAAGTGTGTGCATGAGCCCATCTGTTTTCCCGGTAAACATTTCTACCCCTTGATATCATTATATATCAGTTTTATAAAACTGTAAAATCTGTTTATGTTATTGAATTGATTGGTTCCAATATAGCCAGGGCCAATTTTAATAATTTCCTCTGTAATGCTCCCAATTGTCTGAGAACAAAAGTTATTTTCAGGAGCCCATTACCATACTTTCTTTCATAACCTAGTTTGATTTACACTAATATTGATTCAGTCTTGTGTGAACAGCCACATTATTGTTATTACAGAAGGTGTGGTCTTCAGGAACACAAATTGACCTATCTGCTAAATTTAATTGAAATTGGTCGGTTGATTCAAAAGTTTGTAGGGGTTAACACATGCACAGACTGCGTGAGCCTTCATAGAAGATTGTCTTCTTTTTGTATTGAGCTCTCTTAAGAAAGCAGCACAAATCATTATCATCATCATCTACTTTGTGGGAAAAACTACGAGGCCTTCACATAATTATTCCATTTTCTTGTGGGGTACTCTGGTTAACAATTTTATTACTCGCATGCTTCACAATATACATTCATTACAGATAATTAAGAACTGTTGTAAAGTATGTGACACTTATGGTGTGCATTCTTTATTGCAGAGGGGTTTTTCTGGCCTGCCTATTGTACCATGAAGATAAAGTTCTTGTAACGAACGAGGATTTCCTGCCAGTAATTGAAGTAGATGAAACGTACCCTAGTTGCATCTATCATGATTTTCATTGGCTTATGAAGGTATATTTATTTGTTAATTGTAGTGTCTTGCTTGCATTCATGATTGAATATTTTAGTCTGGCTTATGAATAAGAAACATTTAACTTAGAGATATTGGCATTTAGATCCCTGCAGAATGCCTATTAAAATTGTTCCGTCTGTCTTTCTGTTGATGTGCATGAACCAACTTGAAAAAAGGTGAATAGACTTACCTGAAATTTGATGTATTTTAGTTTTGGTTAAAATCAGACAATAATGGCACTTTACATAAATACCTGTGCGTGTTTCTGGACACCAACGTGACTAGGTGTGAAATCTTCAGGCTACGTTTAATGCCATGGTTACTTTATTACCTGGGATAAAGGTCAATTATTTTGCTATGTATACATTTCCTAGCTTCTTTATATGAAATCTGCCATCATGGTTAAGTCATTAGCACTTTTGCTTCACATTCAGAAGGTCCTGGGTTCAGATTTTAGCCAGATATTGGTTTTTGTCAGTCCCTCTATGCAAATGTTACCTAACACCTTTAATTGCACAACTTCTCTCCAGAGTTTTCTGATTCTCTTTCTGTGGTTACTTGATAGGCAACTACAGGGTGGGTAGGAAGTAAGTAGGCATTGAGAAATGGTTATAACCTCTATATTTCCAATGCAAAGATAATATTAATGCCTATTTACTTCCCACCTAACCTGTATAATGTACTTTTCTATTGTAAAACACTGTGCCCTCTACTGTTTCATTGACTGACAACTGTTTAACTGTTACTGACATGTGTCATGGCTTACATGCAGTGCAGCTGTCCATGCATCACACTAGCATACCAATAAACTGTTAACACCAGAGTTGAAGTCCAACCCAGTTAAGATTTGTTACAGCCTGTGATTATATTTCTATTTGTTGATAGTCTTATTAGCTTATACTGGTTGTGTGGGCAGGTTGCATGTACGTGGGATGATGTGAAGTCTCTCAGACAGGACATGGAACGTAGCCTCAGTTCATCAGCCGTCCACTTTCGTATCAAACTTCTGCAGGCAGCAGCTCATATGCAGGTAATTGCCATTTAAGTTTAAATTTTCTTATTGTAATTCAGCATAGCATATAGTCACAAACAATGGACATAATTACATATATTATAATGTTTAGTTCCTACCATGAATGTGTTAACTTGCATAGATCCAAAAAAAATCAAATTTTGTTTTGTAGTGCAAAATTTTGTTGCTTTATATTCAGGCAGCACTGTGTGTCCAAGATCTGGGTCAACTGTATTACAAACCAATGAGAGACTGTCAAGGGACACTCGTCATCTCCATAGTTAATTATGTACGTTCTCCAAAGACTGTATCAGTCCTTAATTCAAGATGGCTGCCACTTAGCAAAGTGCAGAAGAAACTTGCAACTCATGAAGAACCAAATGTAGGGGAGTTACTAATGGCTTCCATTCAGGTATGATAATGAATATATTAACTGTTATGTAAGAGATTTTATTTAGTGAAAGATGGACATATACATGGTTGTTTTTAGACTAAAGTGGCTACACACAATATCAAAACGAGGCATAAAGACAATCTTCATAGACCAGGTGCCAATCTTTCATGTTTTCAAAAAAGTGTGTATGCTGTTCTGGCATCAAAATATTCAACACACTACCATCAAGCCTCAACCACTAGGGTTGGATGCTAGTTCATCTCCACTATTTCCCTGGTGCCATTCCCGGCTAATTCATAATGGTAACCATGAGCTGTGCTAGGTTCACAGACATGCAGTTGTTTACAGTTGTGTTTGAAATTTTCAGGAGCAGATAACATACCATCAAGTTAGCAGCATCAGGCTAAGTCGTGGTCTGTACCTAGGATACCTCAAGATGCGTAGTTCAGTTGATCTGATCCAAGTTTTGGTTTCAACCAAGGCACCCAATGTCTTACCACACTGCAGAATTCGGGATAATCCCCATGTATCATCGTAAGTTCCAATACTCGGCAGTCTTCATTTTTATTCTCTTATATAGCAGAGCCCTTGTGAATGTCATTGCTGTTTGGAGGAAAAAAATTACTGATGCCAAACCCTCATTTCCACGATTGCAAGAACCACCCCTGTATCCTTCTCTGATCCAGATAAAGGCAGTCTGCAGTCTCATACCTTATTTAAGATCCATCTGTATACAAGTCTCCAAACTGCTTGCTTCCGATCAGATTTTCTGGTTAAATATTTTCTGCATTTATTATTTCCCAATATATACATTCTGTGTCCCACCCATCATGTAAGAGTCCAAGGTCCCATGTTACGTTTCTTAGTGTGAGATATTTTTATGGTAAAAGGCTGTTACCCCTACCCAACCCCCAAGTTGTATGACTGTCCCTTGTCAGTTGTCCACCATGATTACTCATGTAGTATATTCATAATTACCCTCTGTATCTGGTTGCTGCAGCCCCTAAACACAACATGAACATACAGCATTCTATGCTAATTATAATTAATAAGGAATGCGCTTAATGTTGTCACTTGGCCACTGAAGTACTTCTTTTAGATCAGATGCTGATTGGGTGATATTTCCTAGGCATCTGTAACATTTTTTTGCTTTATAAAATAGCGATACAGTAAATCAGTAAAACTTACGTTTTGTTATTTATGTTCCAAGACTTACTTTAAACTGTTCAAAGTTCCTACAGCAATGAATACCTATATGTATTTGAACTGTATAGTCTGTAATGAGAAATTGAAGAGCACTTATCAGATGTGATTTGGCTGTATTGATGTACACATAATTGAGTAAAAGTAAAATTAATCTCTGTAGTTGGGCATTACATCTTGCAGACTTATGGTGGTTGTAGAAGTAAAGATTCTTAACCTTGGCACTAGATGTAGGTCAGCCAAGGTTGGTCAATCAGTAGTGTCAGTGGGTACCACAGATCCTTGCCCTGAGGATAAAGCACAAAGTGAAGGTTGTACAGAACCTGCAGCGTCTGGATAAAGTAGCAACAGGAATCTACCTTGACTCAACCCACTTTACTGACTGAGCTGTCATACATAAGCTGTCCTGTCATATGGTTAATACTATTCTTCACTTATACCTACCCTTTGCTGTCATAGTGAGGAATGGGAATGGCTGAAAAAACAAACTGCCTGTCACAAATCTCTCGGCTGCTCATCTAGTGAGACCCTGAGTTCAGCTTCAGGTGACGAGCAAACTGGTAGTGAAGATGGACAGCAGGTTGAAACATCTGGTGGTGGGACAGAACAACAACAGGTGTTTGTAGAACTCGTGGCTGCTACAGCTCGACGGCTCTTCTCCTACATGGAAGTTAGCCTCCAGGAGGCACTGACCCACAGGTAGCATGATACAGCTGCTGAATGATAGTCATAATTGTATCAGCGTAATTCATTTATTTATAACAAGCAGAAATTAACAAGGCAGTCAGTAAATTTTAAAAAAAATGTCTTGTATGTCACTGCATAACATTACATAACATGCCACGCTGTTGCAAAATAATGTATGGCCAGTATATATAATCTGAATCAAAAGATAATTCATTATCACTGAGAAAATATACCAGAAACACATTACACATATTAAGCAGTAAAAGTTAAGAAAATAAATTTGCTGTGACTTGGCATATTTTCATTTGTCACACCACTGCCTTGCTGTGTCACAGGTTGTATGATGCAGAAGTTGTTGATCTGAGCCCCGAAGTGTCGTTTCTCATTGTGGTGCCACGTGCTGAATCAGCATGTGCTGTCCCAGGACAGACAGAGGCCTTGTTGCAGCGAGGAGATCTCATAGCCTTGCCTGTTCAGGTGTTTGAGATGGTGCACCTAGGCACTTACCAACGTGATGTCATCTCACGCTACTCTCGACTGTCCTGCATACTGGAATTGGACACTGTACTCGCACATCATAGCCACAGGGAGGTGTGTACTTCCAGTACTGAAAAGTTTCATTCTATGGGATTTTTATGCATGGTCATTATCTTATTAAGGTTACAGCTGGCTAAACACTGTGGGAGACCAACCATTTAGAGGTTATGAACAAACACATGTAAAGACGCACACTGTATTACTTAAAATTCTTTCATCTCTCCAGTTATTTCTCCTTCTGTGCATCTGTTCTGGTAGCTAGGCAAAAATTGATATCTTTTTAATAATTCATAAATAATTTATGCCCACTGCTTGGCAACTGTTTAATGCACAAAACAATCATTATGCTGTACCATGACAATGAATTATAGAAAATTGGTCAACAAGAATATAATACGTTCATATGTTTGTCATAATAATTGATCGATCTCATTATTTCAGTAGTTTTGTATATTGGATTTGTCTTGGACATGTAGGCCTCAAACTTCATCAACCTATGAAAGAAAGGCCTACATACGTTTAATGTTAGGTTTCCTTATTTGTGATGAACATAGATAAAGTAGATTAGTTTGTATCGTTCATATTCCTCCCAGGCTTTCTCATCATCTGAAGTATTAGCAGCAAAAGACCGTCTCGCTCAGCTCCAAGACTTCCAGTCACAGCTGAATACTGCTTGGAAAGGTGTTCGTTGGCTCATGGACGTTCTAACATTTGCAAGAGATCGTGGAAGTGGTGGTGGGAGTTCAAGCAGTTGTTCTTCAACTGGTGTGACCATGAGGAACCTATTAGCTCTCAACTGGGGCTCATCAGTGGAGCAGGGAAATGATACAGAGTCAAACTGTAATGGGAAGGGTGGGGGAAGTTGTGGAGGTGGGAGTTTGAAACGAAGCTTGCTTCAGTTACCTCCAAGGGATCCAAAACTAGTGAAATCAAGTGCAAGTCGAGGGAGCTGGCCAGGTCCAGGTGTCAGTCCTGGTAGTGTTGCAAGTTTCCTGACTGCAGAACTGAGTAAGAGTGAACAGCACCTCAGTACAGGAAGGAATATCAGCCACAGCCATAGTGGAGATGTCAGCACTAGCAACGCTGCATCCACCATGTCAGATACAGGGAGTAATAGCAGTTTCCCAATGGCAGGTGAGTGTCAGGGAACTCATTTAAACACTAGAAAGAATTTTTGGGTCAGTTGTAGGTAGCAGAAGCAGGAGATGAGGAGGAACTGTGTATAAAGTAAATTTAATAAAGTATTGGTGTACGGATAAGAGTGTTTTGTATCAAATGTCTGAAGGGATTCGTTGTGGCTCCTTTAGACATAATTCATCTCTGATGAAAGATAAAATTAATAAATTAGGTAAGTCAGAAGATAAAATAATCTGTAATTTATTCCTTACAACAATTAAGGCCACTTAATGATCAGAGGTAACTTTGTTTTGTCTGCAACAGGTGTCGCTCCTCGGTTACCGCCATCCCGAAGTGAAGACACACTTTTGCTACAGAAGCAACCTCCACCATCAATACGGACTCACACGCGGACACGCTCGTCTACTATAACAAGTGGTGGTGGAAGCATAACCAGTGGAGCTAGTGTGTCAGCATCAACATCACCACTGCTTTCAACACGGGGAGCATCTGGTGGCAGTATGCACTCCTTATCATCATCTGATGAAACTACAAGCTCTGCATCTACATCAACTGTGAAACTTCCAACTGGGAATAAGCAGGGTGATGATCAGGAAGATGTTACCAATGTGGCTGCTGTTGTTCCTGCACCTGCACCAGGGATACTGCAGGTATGCTACGCATTTTTGTGCTGAAATGCGGAAAGCACCGTCATGATTGTGTGTTCATGTGCATGTGTATTTCGCCCCAAATAACTTCCAAATCAGTATATATTTTAATTAACATTGGTATGATGATCATACCCCAATAGAAGTAACATGGATACTTTGAATTTAACAGAGATCACGTGACATTAGGCAGGGAAAAAATTCATAATGAACAGCTTCATATTTTGTACTCTTCATCATCACGTGACATTAGGCAGGGAAAAAATGCATAATGAACAGCTTCATATTTTGCACTCTTCATAAATTATTATTACTGCCATTATAGATTTGTCTAATTCGTTGGTTAAATATACCTTAATATTTGGCTGCTCAGGTACAGTTAATACTGCAAGATTAATGCGGAGAAATGTTGTAGGTATATGCAGCATATGAGACAGGCTTGGCAAGTGGAACGAGTCTGAAGCTCCATGTGACACCATGGACAACAGCCCGTGAGGTAGTTGACCTGGTGGTGAAACAGCTCAACATGGCAGTGGTGCTTAAGGGTAAGGATGGACCTATCTATCCTAGTGACAAGCTCAAGAACTTCTGTCTGGTAGCTGTTATAGGTGCTAGAGAACGCTGTCTCAGAGATGACTTCAAACCACTCCAGTTGCAAAATCCGTGGAAGAAGGGAAGACTTTATGTAAGACAGAAACAGGATGTGTTAGCTGCACTAGAACAAAGTTCTCATCAAACTGCTTATCTCTAGCCAAAATGGACTCAGGCAAATAGTGATTGATTGATTGGTGCTGATCTGTGCTATTTAGTCGTGGTACTTTAAGTTGAGTTACAGACATTCGTAACTGAATTCCTGGCCAAGAAAGTTATCGTAACATCTAAACAGGTCGTTGCAATCAGTGATGGAAGTGGAAACCATCAATAATAACAAAATAGTTGGCTGGTTTGCCACTGTCAAATAATGGCAATGCAGATGTTGATAAATCTGATGAAGTTTGAAAATGTGTTTGTGGTTGAATGAAAAGTACACAGATTGACAAGCACTATTGCAGGTGTGAAAAATGCATTTCCTAACTATTATTACAAACACAGCTTCGACAGATTTAGAAGTTTGGTTCTGTGAATTTCAAATGACAGTAAGTTCAGTGATGAAGCCAAATAATATAACATCTCAAAAGGCCTTTGGGTAACATTCCACAAGTTAACAGAGTTAGAAAATAACAAAAGTATCCATTTGAATGGGACAGAAGGATTCAATGATATGCATTTTTATAGGTTTATAAATATTTTTAAAAAGTACAATGGAATTTCTTTTATCATTCTCATAAAACATTATTTATTCTTTAGTTTCTGTTTTTGTAGGTTGGAAAGATTCCTGTCATAGTATTCAGTTCAAGGACAGAAGATTGTGTGAAGGTAATTTGCAGGAGGAAGACATAATTTAGTGGATTTTACTCAGTCTGATGATAATATTCATTCAAAAACCTTTCCATCACTGAATCTGTGACTTCTGAGATACTTTCCTGCAGATACAGTGATACTGTTTTGACAGAAACTGGATACCAAATATTGCTGGGTGTCAGTCAAAATTTGGCTAATAGTATGCCATATAAAGACATAATAACTTGGAAGTATTATAAGGAAGATGTTGTGTTCTCAACCCTAGATCACGTAACACACAATCTTACCTAAATAATAGACTGGAATGAATGAGATGATAATATGGTTTTATGTTGATCAAGTGAATAATAATAAACCAAGAACCTAATGGAGTTAGCCAAGATACATTATGTGATAAAATACAATGTCAGGAAATACAGCCCATACAAAAACATTGTTTTGGCATGGCCATTAAGACAGTAGTTTTCAGTTCAACATTTTAAATCCTTTTACCTCAAATATAAAGCATTTATATGGTGTACTTATCCATTTTAACTGAAACAGGTCAAGAGTGAAGTGTTGTGATACAAGTGTAATGACCTTTTATTGTTATTATTAATATTCAGATTTTGAATCCAACAAAATTGGAATGAAAGTGCAGATGTAGATTTCAGACTTGACAGTATTAAATCCTGTAAGATTTAATTCACGATGTAAATGCACTTTGACAAAAATGGTTATGCCCTTTAACATAATGGCTACAGTTTACAAATGTTATAATTCTGGCAGGCCTTCTGAATTGTGAAACACCACACCAAACATTGAGTGCTTTCTTTCGTTGTATTGTGTTCCTCACCTTCTACCAGTGTTATTGTTCATATCGTCATTGGGGTTAGGCACCCACAGTATTGGAAATAACATGAAAGTTCAACAAATGAATGGATCTGGAAGTTCTTCAGTAAACAGATAAATCAAACTCTGAAAAAAAAAATTACATTATTGAATATTTTTGAATTTGTATGTTTAGGAGCTTGTCTTTTAACCAGTTTCTGCTTCATTCCTGAAGTGGAATACCTGCGTCAGTATAGTAACTAAGGTAGAGGCTGGACAACAGGAGTTCAGTTCCTCGCATGACAGGATTTACTCATCAGCAAAATATCCAGACTGGCTCTAGAGCCCACTCACCCTCCAATACAGTGGGTACTGGTGTTCTTCTTTGGGAGATAAAGTGGCCAGATAGTGAAGCTAAGCACTCGCATCCATTTAGTGTTCAGTTTAATATATGGAACTATGCATCCACATACTTATACCTCTGCATGGCAGACAATTTTAACTAACTTTCATTCATGGATCTCTCTCTCTCTCTCTCTCTCTCTCTCTCCCTCTCCCTCTCCCCCTCCCCCCTCCCCCCTTCTCTCTCTCCCTCCCTCTCCCTTTTTGTGGAAGTGGGGGGTAGTAACCTTCGCTGTGATTATAGACACTATCACAGTTTGTAGGATAAACAATGGATGGTAACAGTTATCAGGAACAGCAGCAACAGATAATTTACAAGACTTTTGAAGACACTGGTACAGCTGACAGGCTTACAACTGCACAGCTTTCAAAATAAACAGTACAGAATAATAATGACACTTTACTATGACTAGTTCAACTTTTGGAAATAGTATATCGATATACCAATGAATGTTAACTGCGTGAGATGTCTGAAATTAATGCAAAAGTTCGTGAAAGTAATGTAGTCACATCAAGTGTCTTCTGATACACAAGCCTTTTTTACTGGAGTCAAAAAAGTTTCAGAGTTTGAGAAGAAAATCTTTTGCGAGCATCCCATTGTAAATTTCGAAATAGACAACTGTCCTGATTTTATGCACAAATGAGACTGCAAAAAAATCCAAATTGAGTTGTAAGTAGCCAAATAATTTAGTTTGAAAAAAATATTAATGAAAGATGCTTATTAGCTCAAGTGAAATTAAAATTTCTGTCATCAAACTAACTGATAACATTATGGGTGAGTTCGTTATCACTCCTGCTTCATACTCAGAAGGTTGCAGGTTCAGATTGCAGACTAAAGACTGGTTTATGCTAAGTGAGATTTTTGTAATTCTCTTCAGTTCCTCCAGACAAATGCTGGGATAGTGCTTTAGGGTAGGTCATGATCTGTTCCTTCCACATACTTTCCAATTCATTACTCACTTATCACCCTACAGTTAATGCTGTTGAAAAAGTATTGTTGAATAAACAAAGAATCAGTTGACCATGCTTTCATTCCTGTGAAATAGCTCGTGCTCAGGCTTGTGTACATAAAGGTTCAGCTCTAGTCACCTCGACTATGGCAGCTATCATGTCAAAGATTAAATAAACCCTTGTGAATTGGCATTATTTTTAAAAGATCATGATTCCTTCAGAAGTCGGTATAGGAAAGATCAGTTTAGATTTTCAGCATGAGTTTTACAAACAAAATAGAAGACAAATACAAGTCAAACTTTTGGCAGTGTAACATGGAAACATTTTCTGCCACAACTCTTACATAGTAGACACCAAGAACATAGCAGAATAACCAATGTAAACAAGATTATTTCTAAGAATTATTCAGATCCTTTTATTTTAATTGTAAAATGTCAGTAGAAATGAAGAATGACAATTATGCAAATTCTATTTATTATACTTCAAACAGAATATCCCTTAGCTGTGTACAGTTCAAAGCCCATTTAAATTTTTAAAATCTTACAGAGTTCCACATGAATTAGCATCCTTAGATTAAGTATTTCCCATATCTCTGTAAAGAAATCTGTTATCTTAGAAATATGCCTATAGATGAATCAGTCGTATTGTATCTGCGATTTTAACACCAAAATGGAAATATCTACTCTCAATTAAGAATGAAAATGTTGTTGTTCTTAAATTTATACTTCACTTCTTGGCCCCTTAGTTTAGGCTCTGTAGGAACACAGAGCCCCTCTCCCACACGTAATTAAATAGCATTGTCTCTCTTGCCATTATTTTGGATTGTGACATAGGTGATTGTATTGTAAGTGTTCATAAGTCTTTCATAATTTTGTTTGTGCAGATGTGATTCTGCAATTTTGATAGCTGATTTATACATTATGGTGCAGTTACTTGGCTTTCTTCACTAATTGGATTCAGACATCATATACATGTGCATTAACACCATTCATTAGAATCCATATCAAAAAGAAAATCATTATTCCCTGTGTTATTTCATAGTACTTGTTATAAACATTTTCTTTCAGAATTCTTTTGAGCAAAATTTGTTTTGTTTATTCTGTAATAGTAGAATTGTATTAGAAAATTATTTATTGTAATGGTGTCAGTATTTGCTGTGTATTGATATTATAGCAAAGATAATTTTTAATGGTGTCCTAATTATTAAATGTGTAAAATTATCTTTGTCATACCAAAAGATGCCTAGTAATACTAACCAAATCTTTCATTTTATAAATGCATTTACCTATTGCTTTACTTGCATCAAAATGTTGTCCTGGATGAGGACATTTTATTTGGGCTAAGGGTGAATGATACTAATGATATAATGACACATAAAACATCGTAACATACTATATAGAAATATGGATAAACTTACTGAAGAAAATTTGTTGAATATAAATGGACTGAATATCTTAAAATCTAATTTAGAAACAGCCATTTTTAAGGTAGGAGATAAATATAATTATAACTTCAGGCTATAAAATTAACTGAATACAGAATTTCAGAACTGATAGTGTTTGATATTCCAAGTCAGAGCAAACATTCCTCACCCAATGGAAAGTACAAAGAAAGACTGATCAGTTCATGTAATTGGAGTGTTTTCAATACAGATTTCATGTTCATCTTTCAGATATAATAAAGGTGTTTAATTTGCTAGTATATGAAAAGAGTCCAGGAAGGACAACTAAAATCATATTTCATTTAACCTGATCTCTAGACTGCAACATGTCAGTAGGGGAATTCTAACAAGAGCCAATATGATGAATTTTGTTACATGCAGTTCCTGTATTAGTGTGATACATATATATTTTACCTTTGCATCATTTTTCAGTTCCTCTGCATATTTTGAATGTACTGTAACTGCCAAAAGAAGAAGTGTAAGAAAGAGATTCCAAGGATTTTATAAGATGTATCTAAGTACTGATGTTGTACAGGTATGGATTTTTATTTTGTGTATTTATTTAACAAGTTTATATACTGAATAATGCTTCTAACTGAGAAAGAGTAATGCATTTTGTAACAAATTAAAAATTAAGATAATTTAAAAATAACAAATAGAAATTATTATTATAAAAATGATCAAGGAAAAATGATGACTTCATATTTTACATTAAAACATTTGGTGTTAATAATACTGATTTAATTTCAGAATGAAAGATGTAATTGAGAGCAGCATTAGACACTATAAAATGCATGGAGTGGGGGTTATGAAAAGTATTACACAAAAGAAACCAAGTAATTCACATTCTATCATAAGATAATTAGGAATTTCATATAAAAGAGTACATCACAATTTTTTTACAGTGGACCTGAATTCTAATTGTATTTACATATATATTTGAACACTTCATTTTCACTTCTCTTTGGGTCTCAGTTTATAACGATGAAATTTCACAGAATTGCACTGTCGAACAAGGAAACAATATTTGTTCACGCAGCTTAGTTTGTATTCCCATAGTTTTAGTGTTGTATCAAAAGAAATATTTTATCATTTGCTGTAAAATGTAATTGTAATGATATTCAGCATATGAGCAATGCAGTATATAGTGATATAATCATCAAAAAGTCCCTGTCAGTCTCTTTTGTACCACTTACCGAGTATGCATGAAACTGATGATATAGCATTGTAAGAACCCCATACTTACATAAGAGAATCTAAGTTACTGATACCCTCAAACATGGCTGCTTAATGACAGACTGATGGTACCTGAATCAGTATAGCTTACCAGAAATAATCATAGTCTTGAATTGTAACATAATTTAAAATTGAAAACACTTGCTGTGAAATATAAATGAAATACTTTTGAAACAATAAAATATGTTTTACACATAGTCTTCTATGATGTTTGAAGTTATTTGTTCTACAAATACTGAATCATGATCACATAACAGTTTGAGACTGAAACATAAATATTACTGATGACATCTAATAAACTCAAATTTTCCATGGCTAATGATATTCTGTTTTATATTGTGTCATATTTGTTGACATTTATAGTACAGAAATACAATTCTCATAATAAATTCTACATAATTTAAAATTTCAAAATCATTGTATGTTGCTTGATATACAGATAAATGATACATAAAGTCTGATTTTTCTTTGATCATTATTGACTGAGATGTTGATAACATGAGCTTTCTTTACATCATGGTGAATAAAGTGTGATGTTCAGACCCTGCTCTGATGTTATTTAAGCTCTTTGGTTTCTTCATTTATGCTTCTTTAAAGCATAACTTCTATTTGACATAGAATCATCTTTTCAAATTGGCATCCAAGTAATCATAATTTAGTTTTTTTACAGTATTTTAATGCTACAGTCAGTTGGGGCATGCATATTTAGAACAATAATATCACACCAAAGACCTCTTAGTTTTTCATATGATATTCTATCGATAACAAAGTCTAACCTCTTAACTGCTCACATATAAGACCTGTATGTCCATATCAGAAAACTTTCCCCTGAGTAATTATTAACATTCATATTTCTGTAAGTAAAAGTAAAGGTGTCCCACTATATGTCAGGTAGGTGCTTGGGGGAGAGGTTCTACAGCTCCTACTCATGCAACTTAACATATATGTGTTTATGTATATGAGTAAGCCATTCTGAAAATGATTCTGCAAACAGAATTAGGAGTGACACCATAAATGAAGAAACCTAAGGAAAAACATCAGTCACACTCCTGTAACCTGATATGACAAAACCACTGCATGTAGTGAATCTAATGTGTCCCCCACAAACATTAGAAGCATGTTCAAGCACAACTGGATATTATATAAAACTGTCCATTTACATCAATGAAGTTATTATATCAATTTACAAATCAAAATTTAAAGATAAACTGAAAGAGAAACATAATTATTATATACGTGTTAAAAGAATAAACATATTAATGTGGCATTTTATATGTAATAAAATATAGTAAATGAAAATGACATTAAAATGTGTGTATTCTATAAAATTCACCACACATATTTTATTATTTACTTAAGTTAAGCATAAATGAGAACTATTTGTGTATATGGTCTGTTACTGTTGAGAAATTACAAGTTGCTCTAATAACCCTTTTATGTACAGTTTGTTAGAGGCAATAAAATGAATGTTGCATAATTTTAAAAGAACATTATGTTTATGTTAAGTGTGTGGAATGAACCTTGTTCACATCTTTGCTGAAACAAAAGTTCCTTGTCAGTCCTTTCATGTAAGTGCCAGGAAAGTACATTAACCGGTGAATTAGGAGTTGGCATAAGTCAAGCTTTACTTATTACCAACCGAATGAGGCAAAAAAATATATGTGCCAAGATTGTAGGACAGAACTTTTAATGTTTATGTCCAATTTCACTGACTTTCATCAGAGCAGATCCTTCAATAAATGCAAACATTACAAAGAAATCAGATGAATGATGTATTGGTATATGCCATAAAAGGTGAAAATAATTTCTTTTATGTTGGTTCCCTAATACATTTTGGTTATTTCAAATAGGCAGTTAACCACATTAAAATGTATGTCCTATCCTTTCTGTAATGGGTTTAAAAATAGTTAACCACTCCACTGTACTAGAAAGGACAAGCTTCATCCTCTGGTTCCATAATTCTTTGCCATGTACCACATTCCTAAAATGCAGTACATGAAATCATATATTCTCCTTTTTTAAGCAAATATATATAATGGCATTCATTTTTTGTTGTGCAACAAGACATTACTTTTTTTAATTTGCATATGCTGCTTTGTGGAAACTGCACTGAAACAAGACTGTGTAGTGTAAAGCTGTCCCACTATACGCCATGTAGGTGCTTGGGGAGGGGGGAGAGGTGGTATAGCTCCTACTCTGAAAACCTCAAATCTTACAGATGTTAAAGCTTTGTAGCTTTTGTAATACTAGAGCAGGGCGCTCCTTTCGGAGCTCCTGGGGGGGGTTGGTCAAGTTTGTAAAACGCAACCAACATCTGGAGCAGTGATCATGCGACTGGCTTGATAGTTTTTGTTGTGAATCATTATTTGTTTACTCGGCATTGTTGTGTTCCATAACAATGCCGAGTATAAACAAATATAAGTTGACATTGTTGATGACGTAATTTATTGACGACAACGAGGAATCACAAATTTTTATAATAGATAGATAATAGAAAGGAGATATGATGCTGTAATGACACCATTACTCATGATTCTCTGTGCACGTGCTTCAAGTATCTGATGACATACATGACACATGTATATTCAAATGTTTTACGTTGAATAACTTTAATGTAATAAAATATATAACTACGTATATAAGGTAAATTACAATATTATTTTCTTATTGTGCCAAATAAATGTTTGTTTGTATTTATTATTGAATTCTGTACTCTATCACGCCTTACATACTCAGTTTTCTAGGCCATTGCAGAGCCCTGCACATTTTAACTGCACTTTCTCTCAAGAAAGTCTCTGCTCCAACAGTTGGTACATTTCTTTGACGGGGAAAGATCGAGGTTATATCTGTAATTGGCTACATGGAAGAAACTGATGGCGTATCACCAGAAAATTAATAAATAAACATCCGTAAACTTTATGGAGAAATTATCAGTAATTCTCATAGTAGACTGAGTATTGTCATTAATTGATTATCCGCAGAAATAATTCGTAGTTATATGGTTGTGTATCGTAGCATAATTCATATTCTAATTTTCAGACTATGTTTTGATAGCTTCCTGTCAGTTGGTTGCGATCATCATGGCTGCTGAGCACCAGTACTTTTATGAAGATGAAGTGTATAGAATTAATAAGAAGGGTAATATTGAATTTGGAATGGTATTGGAAAATTCCGAGCTTGTTAGTAGCGACGAGAATTCAGATGTTGAAGAAGGGGGCAGGATGATGAAGGGACATATTCGTGTGGCATGGCATCCTACAGGAGTGGAAGAAGTCATTCCAGAACGAAGGGTACTGATTTAATACAGAATAAGAAATTTGTTTACCCATATGCCTTTGGAATAAATATACAAGTCAAAATATATTTGTTAAATAGGTATATGATTTAAAAGTTTAAAGCACTAGTCGTGATTAATGGTTTTCAAATGTGAGAATGTGTACTCTTTTTCAAATATTATGGTGATAAAATCAAGGAGGATGAAATGACCGATGCTGTTGTTGGTGGGAGTGGGTATCATGATGATGATACCAATATGTTTTAGTTGACTGACTTATTTTTCTGTCCTTTTAGGTATATCTAGCAGACAGGTCATTGATGCCAGGAGATGTTGTTAGGCGCATGATAAAAGGGAAAGATACACAGCGTGGTTATTGCAGAGACATAAAAGTGACAGCCAGTGTCCAAGTTGTTGGGACAAAACAAGTAATTCCCAACGTAAAAAGTGAAAACCTTATCCCTTTAGAGGTAAGTGGGCATGAAGAAGACATTGAGATGTTTAATGTGCTGTAACTATCCTTCTCAGTCCTGTAAATAAAATTATTCCTTGATACTGGAGATCAACGGTAAAAAAGGAAAACATAATCCAGACAATATTACCTTATTACAGGAATTTGCAACGGATATAGCAGCATGTCTGGATTCATGGGTTGGTGGAGTTAAGACAATTCATTCCAAGCTACTAATCCAGTGCTCTGATGGATCGCGATGCATTATTAATGATATTGAAGCAAGCGGCTTGGAAGACTTTAATGAAAAGAGGGACTGTGTAAGTAAAGAAGTTGTATATCATTTTCATATACATTTTGTAACTAATGGGTACCAAGGGCTCTTTTCCTGGTTGTAAAGTGGTCAGTGCATCAAGCCAGCTACTCACCTCCATCTGATGCCAAGGTTTAAGAAAGAGTGGAGCTATACCTCCATTACCATATCCATTTTCATTATGTGGTAGTTAATAAATATTAGGGACAACTTTGCATCTTTTACTTTAACTTTTCTTGTGTGTGTGTGAAGGAAGGATGTTTGATTTTATGTTTTAGGATTGTGAGTTTCCAGGCCACCGGGATGATTTCTACCCTGGTCAGACACTGTGGGGCCCATTACATTGTTTGGAAGATGCCGAGTGGATTCACTGTACAAAGGAACTCAAAGCCCAGCGAACCAAAGCCAACAAAATCATCAAAGTGGTAGTTGAAGAAGTGCAGACCCACTCAGTTGGAGTACATTGGCAGTGTCGAGCCTACTCCAAAGATGGTGCTGGTCTTGAGAAAGAGCAACCAAAATTTCTTGTGCAGGGAGATGACCTGAAAAGGTTTGTTAAAAATGTAATTTTTATTTTTGAGCCTGTGGTATACTTGTCTTAATGATTTAAATGCAGTATGTGCTTTGTTTCCTTGTCGGTATAATTTGTAATACTGATGTTTGCAAAAAAATGTGACATGCACTATATAATGATTTTTGGTAACACAATCTACAAGGTTATTTACAAATGAAAAAAACTTGATTTTTTCCAGCTCACTTACTTTTATGTGATTGTATTTTTAATTTTTTTCTGGGTGGGCATACTACGTTATAGCCTTTTATATATTTAATGAGGTTTACTGATGTTAAATATGGGTGTCCAAATAACTGAGGCCATGTACTTCTAAAATGCTATTAAGTTACTGGAATAAAGAATACAGTACATTACATACAGTTACAAACGGAGGAAATGATTAAAGGTTTTAGTGAGTGAATATAGTAGAATCTTACCACCTCGTTGTCTTTCACCTTTTCGCTCTGAAAACAGTTATGATTTGTACTGCAGGCTTCGTTTACTGAACGTGTTTGAACCATGCACTTTGCAAGTTGGTGATCGTAATTTCTACACTTTTCGAGAGGATGACACTGTGATCATGAAAGAACAGTGGCGACGTTTGCAACGTGATTGCATATTGGCTGTTACAAATGGACCTGCTTCCACCCTGCAACAAAGCAAGACAGTCAGCCCAAAGAGGAATAAGAGCAAAGGTAATTCAGTATGAATTATTGTTTTTATACAAAGTAAAGAATGTACATGTTAAAGTGACATATTTAAGTATGTATAGGTTTCAATGCATGAAGTATATATGAAGCCACCCCCCATGTTTTTTTGGGAGAAAATTTCTCTACAAATCATAATTTCTCTGACCCTGGTGATGGAAATTACATCAGGTTGACAGGGGCCCAGTGAATTACAAAAGAGAGAATTAGGTGGATGTTACACATTAACTGACTCGATGAAATTTTCCATGCCAGTCTATTCTACCCAGCTGGGCAGTTCCATAGACTTACATTTTCTTGTCTAAAAGGAATTTCATCAATTTTACCGAACTGAACACGTTAGCAAAATATATATGATGGTATCTCTCAAGTTTGTCCCTTTGTCATTTGGATAGTGCTTGTTCCGTAGAGACAGATCTTGACCCTGTAGCAGATAATTATTGGAGCTCTCTGTAAGACTCCAGCCCTTCATGACCTACTTTGTTAGTATTCCAGACACATGCTATTTCCTTCCTATGAAAACATATTCTGATGATCCTGTTTTCTTTTTTGTGTATGCTTTTTGCCATATTCATTAGGAATCTGAAAGATTTGATATTTATTAGAATCAAAGAATGTCCCGCGCCGTAGCCGCGTGGTCTGAGGCATCATGCTTCCGACCGGCGATACAAAATGCGCGCTGGTTCGAGTCTCGGGGGAGAAGAAATTTTCTCATGAGCTTTCGACCGGTGTATGGGACCAGTGCCAACCCAGCATCGTGAGGAAATTGGGGAGCTACAATGGGTAGCGTAATCCGGTCAGGAAAGCTAGCAATGGCTGGGGGTTCGTCATGCTGACTACACGTTACCCTATATCTGGTTGGATGATCGTTCACCTCTGCTTAGGCATGTGAATGTGAGGCCAGCAGTCAAGATAGTCAGCTTTGGCTCTCTGGAGCTGTTACACCATGGATTTAATTTTTTAATTTTAGAATCACAGAACAGGCCATCAGTAAACAAAGCCTAGATATAAATTCCACATGGCTCCCTATACTGTGGAATAGAAAAACTTTATGTGTAACATAAGCAGAGCAATAACTACAACCATTTCTGGGCTACCCCAGTGGTATAGTGGTTAGCATACTAGCCTGGTATTTAAAATGATCAGTGTTTAATCCCAGCTGTTGTCTCTAATATCATATAAAGACAACCAATCACTTGTAGACAAGGGTAGGACCTATGCCCAAAACAAATATGCATCAAACAGTGTACTATACCCAACACAGTGTTTCTTTAATGAATCGGTCATTGGTACAAACTTACAGAGAATCAAGAGAAAGATTGTATTGAGAATATGTTATTTTTTGTATGTGCAGACAGTTTAGTGGATCCATCAGAACCCACCAACCAAAACTGTCCATCACATACTGATGTTCAGAGGACAGTTCATAATACCCATTCTGCAACAAGTGTGCAGCCGCTGATTCCAACAGTGGAAGTGACTAGCGCCAGTCTGGCACCAGGTTGTGATGCAGATACAGCTGTCGAGCAGTTTGATGACTGGGACACTGAGGACACTGCAAGCATGTCAGACACAGCCTCCATCAGCAGTGGCTGCAGTAGTGTTGGCTCGCAAGGTGAGACAGTTCTTCGCTGGACTGATCATGTCTGCCTATGTACATTTAACCCTTTACCATATACAGACAAACATTACAGTAGCAAAACCTAGAGGTTCAACATTGCTGATATCAAATTGTGCCATTGGACATGAACCTGAACTATTCCCCACCAGAATTCTGAATATGCCCGCCTTATTTGTCCAGTCATAACTGCATGCCTCCAAATATGAAGTATAACTTCATTCATGTTAAATACTGAGTTGTAGGTATCTGACAGTGTGTTCAGACTTAAAAAGAACAACATGAAAAGGGTTGTTAACATAAGAAAATTAATGTGAAATAAATGTTAGTGTCTAGACCATCTTTCAGACACGTTCGTACATCAAGTAATGCACAGAAATGATGCTGGATGTCATGGAAAGTACGTCTTCACAAAACATGAGAATTCTCATAACCAGTTCATAATAAATGGTTTATGAATGATGAGCATTCATGTCACCAGTATCCAACATGTAAAGTTCTTCCCAGAACTTCTTGTTCTGTTGTGTGGTCTTCAGGAAAGAAGAAACGTGGGCCAGCTCTCATGACCAAAGTCCTGAAAAAGAAGAAGCTACGAAGAACCAGGAGACGAGCTCCTCTCATCACGTTACAGCCAGGACAAAGAGTTGTGGTCGAGACACTTTCCACTTCCTCCACTGCTGACGTTGTCTGGCAGGTGAGGGAGTATTCTGGGAATAGGTTTCAGAGAATTCTTCATTAGAATGTTATTGCAATAAAATTTAATGCACATCTCATCAATATGTCTTTTTTTATGCGTGTTAAGTAAAAGATTTAGGAACACATTAGTTTAGTGTTGCTTGCCTGTCTGCATATAACTGGACCTAAACTACTGACTGATTTTGATGAAACTTGGTATGATGGATGTACCTTGAAGTTTGTCAAACTAGTTTTTATTTTTCAACACTTATTTTATGAAGGTAATTCTTTTTATTTCAATGCAGGATGGTTCAGTTGAATATGGAATTCCATCAACTCAGCTTTATCCTATCCACCATCTTGATGATCAAGAATTCTTCCCTGGTGACTTTGTGATTGAGAACAAGGAAGAAAGTTGTATGAGAGTGTATGGAGTTGTTCAAAGTGTAGACCATGCTGGAAGGACAGCGACAGTCAAATGGTTTAAAACCTACACCTCTCAGGAGGAACCTTGGTAAGTCTTATTTTATCTTGTTACAAAAGTACTATTATTATCAATAGAGTTTTTGTTGTAGTATATTTTGCTTGTATCTGGTAATTAATCTGAAGGAAAAAGTACGGAAAGTGAGAATTTAGTTAAATTTACTAAGGGAAAGAAAAAAATTAACATAGATTGTTACTGTTGACATGTAAACAGGATTTTATGCAGTTTATAGGCATGTTAGTGATCCACACAAATGTTTTTGCATGATTCCTGGAAATTTAGGAAGGAATAAGATATTTTATGACTCTGTCTCCCACTTTAGCAACCAGAACTGTAAGTAGTTTTGGCAGGAACGTACTTTACATTGGTAAAAGGGCTCCCTGACACTCTCTTCAAAAAATATGTTTGGATGGTTTTAAATTAGTCTGAGCGTTCTGAAAATGATTAAGTGCTGTTAATTTGCAGCCCTGCTATGTTAGAAGAAAATGAAGTAAGCGTATATGACTTAAAGGATCACCCAGACTTTCAATATCGCCCTGGCACTGTTGTGATCAGGGTGGCCAACTTTGAGGGTGAAGATGCAAACTGTACAGCTGGTCAAGTTTTGGACAATTATCCAGAAGGAATGGTGAGAATTGCAGTTAGTGTTGTTAATGAAACTCTTTGAAACACCAGAAATTTATGTTTTCACCATTGCTCATGAAGAAACTTATGAGAATGATTTGTTTGGCGATCATTATTTCTGTGTTGTCACGGTTTCTTTTCTTTATTTTGTTTTAAATATTTACGTTTATTATTTTACATATGCATGCCAATTCTCAGTTAATTTTTACTGATTTAGTACCTGTTAAAGTTTCAATGTAGAGTTTTTCTAGAGAAAAAGTCAAAGTGAAATTAAGTATCTTACTTAATTCAGTAACAGATCAAGACCTGTGCAAAGTCACTAGCGTTGATATTAGTGTAAAAGAGAAGGAGCATGGAAATTACTAAGAAGTGATCTATTTTTGCTGTGGTGTTCATGGCATCTGATTTCTGCTATTCAGATTTCTTTGTCTGTGACGACATCATATTCCATGTTGACAGGTGCGTGTTTGGTGGGTGGATGGACATGTTTCCATGTCATGGCCTCAGGATTTGTACAAGGTTGGTGAATATGACAGCGATGAGGGAGAACTGTGGGATGATGGTAGCAGTGATGCCTCTTGGGAAACAGAATCAGAAGATTGTTTTATTGCTGATGATGTGTAAGTGTTTTTACACATTTCCTTGTATAATTAATGCACCAGATAGTTTACACGTTGAAGTATGTTGAAATTATAAACCATTAACAAAGAAATTAAACTTCTGGAAAAGATTTGTATTTATGAACGAGGTTCATGATGAAGTTAGGGGTACAACAAATTCTGGACATGGTTGTTACAGAGTTCTGAAACTGTTGCCTTCAAAACACCAAAGGTTACAGTACACAAAACAAAAGTTTTGCCATGGGAGATTTTATAGAGGAGATGAAGTTGGTCTTCTGGATTATAATGCCATGCAGACTTGTAAATAGATACTATCATTTTGGAGGAACATACTCTTAGTATCTGCTGCTTACAAATTTACACAGCATTGCAATGCAGAAGACCAATATCTACAATAATTCTGGCAGTTTGTTACAGGGGTGTTTTAAGGGGAAAATAAGTAACATCGTATGTCCAGCTCATCATCTTCTTCTTCTTCTTTCACACTACGGCCCTTTCAGTATAGCCTTGGCTTCTCTTGCGATCGATGCCCAGTCTTCCCTATTCTGTGTTTTTCTTCTCCCTCCTCTTACGCCCATCTGTTTAAGATCAGACTCCACGTCTTCGATCCACCAGAGTTTTTCTTTTCTTTAATTTGCCAGGAGGTTTACTATTGATGATCATCTTACATCCTCTATCATCACTCATTCGGAGGATATATCCAAGCCATTCTATCCTTCTTGCCTTTATTACAGCTACAATATCTGAGCTTTTGAACAGCTCAGCTCATCATACCCATCTGAAACAATTAGTAAAGTTATAATTTTATATTCTTTAACGTTTAGTGGAAATTAGATTGGACAATGAAAATGGTTTAATGAATAATAATAAGTGTTCTCTGATTTTATGCTCTTAATTCTGTCCTGAAAGTCATTTTTGTTTCAGTCTCTGGTTTTAAGTTGAAATTTATGCATTGCGGTAGGAATGTATTTCAGCAATACTTTAATGTATTATATTTCTGATAGAGGAATTGATTTTCACTTTAGATATTTTAAATTTTGTGTTAGGCCATGAGTGTAACCAGTACTAGAGTGCAAGGTGTCATTCATATGTTATTTTTTATTTTACAGATGTCCTGAGGAAGATTTAGAAGAAATGTTAAAGCCAAAGTTAGCTGCAAATATAGAAAGAGCTCGAATTGCCATGTCTCGGCTAGAAGAGATCTTTACACAGAATCCATCACTCCAGACAACGAGTGTCATGCGACAGTTGCTTGATGTTTATAAAGACTGCAGGTTAGAATTATGTTTTAGTTGCTTTCAAAGAAAATATTATAAAATAAATGGAAAGGCTATGTAAAAATAGGATTAGAATTATGTTTTAGTTGCTTTCAAACAAAATATTATAAAATAAATGGTAAGGCTATGTAAAAATAGGATAGAATGAGTATTATATTGTAGTTAAGGATTTTGTGTGTATTTAAAACTTAAAAATTGTGTCCGGGGGTCCGCAGTGGCCTTGCGGTCTGAGGCGTGGGCCTTGTGCCGCTTGGTCGCAGGGATTGTGGGTTCGAATCCTATTCAAGCCATGGATGTTTTTCTGTGTTGTGTTGTCCTGCGTACAGGTAGAGGCCTTGCGATGGGCCGATCCCTCATCCAAGGAGCCCTACCGAATATCCATAGATCAAGCCAACTGAAAAGTTGGGGACCTGTAAAGGGTACCGGAAAATGTACAAACATTGTTAAACCGGAAAAAGAAGAAGAAAATTGCGTCCTACTCCATGGATATAATTGGATAATTTGTCTCACTGAGGAGCTTTATCAGTATATTGTCTTTCATTTTTATGTTTTGATTCTGGCCATGATGATAACCCCTCCTCGTCTCACATCCAGTTTGCATAAAACCAGTGTTTGGACTACGCTATAAGAGCTGGAGAGAGCTTAATAAGAATGGAGTATTTAACCTTTGTAGTTAAGATATCAGAATGAGAATAGTGCTTTCAATAAGGAAGACTCGGTGGCAGTTGTATTACAACAGGAGTCATTAAAATGGTTTGCAAAATCATAATTTATTCCGTTGCTTTAGAAATCATGTCTGCATCCTTGTAGGATGGAATTTTTTCCTCTTAAATTTGTACCAGGTGGTGAAGAGATAAATAAGATGCTGGTCTCTTATTCAGAATGTTTTAGGTTTGATCACCTGTCAGATCTCTGTGAGGACTTTTTTGCTCGTATGAAGCCGTCACCTTAGCAAAAGTTAAAATTTTGGAAAAGTGAAGTATACAAGGCTGCCACTGTTTCGAGCTCACATTAAATAAGATGGTGACTCATCTTTTAAATTAGCTGTCTCATTGGAGGGGGTAACAGAATTCTCCTCTGTGTTTGTCCGCACCTCAGAAATAGATTCTAGACTTGTCTAGTGTTGGCAAAGGCCAGAAATAGTCATCATAGTTCATCCGTGGGGTGTTATAGAAACCCATCCAACCAGTATATGTGGTGAACATTTTTATTAAACATTTGTACATTTTGCCACAGTTCTGAATTCAGTAGTTCTTGTTTTTGGTTTGAAGACAACAAATCTGTTGATATCCTGCTCATCTATTATTAGGTACTTGGACAAGCTAATGGGAACGTCATTTTTTCATGAGAGCCACTTTCAAGGTCTGCTAGAGCGCGTGAGGGAGCGTGGACGAGCCAATGTGGCCCAGAGAGTTGCTGATCAAGTCAGTAGGTTGTTCCATCAGTCAGATATCAGTGATCCCCTTCATAGTCAATTGATATGTAACAATTCCCATGAAGATAACAAATTTGGCAATAGTGTCTCTGATTCGGTTGCAAGTACTATCATTAGTAGTGGTAAATATTCTGAAGTGGGTGTGGCCAAGAAGCAGGAAGGTGTGATACAGAACGTGTCAGAACTGAATGCATGGGAAGGGACGGGTAGACAAAGTACAGCCAAAGAAGTGAACAGTATTTCTGTATTGGAGCGCAGTGTTGATAGGAACAGTGGAAGTTCAAGCAACCCTATGGTGTTTGTTGATGACTGTAAGTTCATATCTGTATCTTCTGTAAATAAGGACAGTGGTAGTGGCAGTAGTGCCAACAAAGACTTGTTTCCTTCAAGAGGATTTCTTCTAAGTGAAAACTTGGTAAATCTGGAACGACGTGTGGTCACTGCTGTAAATAATCATAATCTGAGCAGTCTCCATGAGCCTGATGATGGTTTGAGGGAGATTGTGATGGAACAGCACAGTATAGCTACTACCAAATCAAGTGGAGGCAGTGGACAGAGGAACAGTGGGAACTACAACAATAAGTTACATTCACAGACTGATGAGAAGGGCGGAGGAGTTGGAAGTAACACTACCAAACATAATGGGTGTTATGGGTCTCCGGTCACTGCAACCGCGACATCCGTGAAAAGCAGACATGCCGTGTTTGCGAATTCGCCTGTCCCTGTAGCGACATCTTCTGAGCCCCGCAATTCTAGGCAGTTGTCAGATGTTGCAGGAACAACAATGGGAACTCTAAGTGGTTCTCCATTGTCTCTCTCATTGGTGTCCAATTCTCATGTGTGTGTGAAACTTTGTTCTCTGATCAAGGCTCAGCTTGTTAAAGCTCATGGAGAAGTTACGCGTCGGTTTGGTGGTAATCAAGGTCTTATGACTCTGAGTGATGCTTTTAATACTCGATCTCCGATCGATAATGGTAGTCATAAAGATGAAAATGAAGTTGAGGATGAAGAATGCAAAGAAGATGTACCTGTAGGCAGGAAGAGGGGCAAAGAGACTCTTGTTCCAGCAGAGACCAGCAAACCAGAGCGGGCTTGGGATTCGCCTGAAATGCATAATTCAGAAACCGAACAAATTAAACCGCAGTCAAGTTCAGTTGCGGCATCAACAACTACAGAACTGCCTCTGCTGTCAGAGAAGGTAAAGGATGGGCTAATGGACATGCTACATGCAATATCCAGGTTAGGAGGTGGACAAGTTCTGCCATCTCAGAATCAGCCTGCTCGTGTCAAGAGTTCCGATGCTGTAGAGAAAGAAGAAGTTGTGGCAGTGAGCACAACTGTTCCCATTCCTGTTCCTGTGGATGATAAGGGGGACCATGCATGTGACACTGGAGAAGCAGTCAGTGGTGAATCTTGTGGTGAAGGTAAGATTTAGCATCTGTATGGTGAGTCCTAAACAGCAAGTTACTTTTCTTATTACATTATTAACACAGGACTGTGATCTATTATTCAGTCTCTAGTTTTCCTTGTTATTTGTTTATTATATTAGTTCTTTATTTTATTAAATGTTTTCTTCATACTCACCGCTGTGAGAACCTCAAATCTTACACATTTTTTCACTTGTTTTGTACGGTTGTGAAAAGACAGTTTTAAGAGAAAGGAAGTAGCAGGAGAATGGAGAAATTTGCATGATAAGAATCTTCATAATTTGTTCTCTTCACTAAATGTCACTAAAATGATCGAATCAAGGAGGGTGAGCAGGGCAGGACATGTAGAATGCACAGTTTTAGTCAGAAAGGCTAAAAAAGGAGACCTTTTAGGACACTATCTTAGACAGGATATCAAAATGTGTTTGGATTGGATTGATCTGGCTCAGGGTAGGGTCCACTGATGGCTCTTCTGAATACAATAATGAACCTTTGGGTTCTGTAAAAGGTGTGGAATTTCTTTACCAACTGATGTATAATCAGCATACAAAGAAGGACTCTTCTGTATATAGTTATCTTCCACTTACAAAGCATTTACTTCCAAAACTTATATTGGCAGTTTTACGTTATTGTGGGAGATATTTAGTATAGTTTTTGCTGCATTGTATTTATTTTCAGGATTCTCAATTATGGATTCTGCCCCAAACAGCCATAAGTTCAAGCTAACCATGTTCCAGCCAACTGATCCGCAGAACTTTTTTCGGACTGTTAGGAAGGAAATCAAACTTCTTCGATCATCATTACCACCAGGTATATGGGTGAAAGGATTTGAGGATCGAATGGTGAGTTTTTTTATTTTTATTTCTATTTGATTCTTGATTTGTTGGCGCATGTTGGTGAAGTGCGCTATATAAGAATAGGAATGTCGTTTTGCAGCTCTGTAGCCGATTCCTTTTCTTGTCAAGCTTGGGTGAAAACCAGTCAAAAGAATGTTGTGCATCAGGGTGGGGAGTAAGGCCGACAGCATTCATATTCTCGACCAATTTCAAATGGGTCACAATGTACAGAACCAAACTTATAATTGTTGTCGAGTATGTCTTTAGGCAAATGAGATGGTTCAGGCCAGACTTGGATGAATGGTGAAATGTGACAACATTGAACTCCTGATGATACATATGTCTCATACTACAGCTGAAGATTTCAACTGAAGCATGTCCTCAACTTGCTATTGTGATTTTGAGGCTTTGATTGAGGTTTTGAAACATCTTCCTTTTTACGGTGCAAGGTTGTTAGCCTTTAGACCAACCCCCAACCTGGAGGACCAGGGTACCTGTCTTAGTCTGACCTCTCCCCCTCGACCAGTCTTGCTAGGGAGGTACAGTAAAAAATTCCTGGACTGAAATAGTGAACGTAGCATCTTTAGTTGCAGCTGCATCTTATTTACTGTACAGTCAGTTCAAGAACTCTTTCACTGTATTATATCATCACAAAAATAATAATAATAATAACTACAAACTATTTTCAGTTTTTATTCTGTTCATCTACTTGTAAAATTTACATTTTAATCTGAAGGGAGCTTGTTATTCTGACAGCTTCCACCATTTTTCCTACATGCAAATATTTGCATCTTTTCTCAGTTATCCAGTTTTAAAATATTAGTTTTTCTGTTCGAGTAAACTGTATTTATACAGGAATTTAGCTACTTTATTCATGTTCATTTTTACCAGGATTTGTATTCGGTAATGATTCGGGGACCAGAGAAGACTCCATATGAAGATGGGCTGTTTTTCTTTGATTTCCAACTGTCGGCTGAGTATCCTAAGGCTCCGCCATTGTGCCACTATATTAGTTACTGCAGTGATCGCCTCAACCCAAATTTGTACGAAGATGGGAAGGTCTGTGTGAGCCTTCTTGGTACATGGAGTGGGAAGGGCACTGAAATTTGGACCCTCCACTCCAACTTACTCCAGGTCATTGTGTCAATCCAAGGTGAGTTTATAAGTTCTCTTTCTTGCCATAGCAATGTTTGGAAGTGCTTGAAAAACTGTATTGTATTTTCATGTATATTGATCAATTACAATTAATGTTGGCAGGCCTGATCTTGGTGAGCGAACCGTATTTCAATGAGGCAGGTTATGAAAAGCAGAAAGGATCCCAGCAAGGCAAGGAAAATTCAAGAATGTATAATGAAATGGCAGTTCTGAAGCTAGTACAGTCACTCACAAAACTTATTCTGCAGCCTCCGCCGGTTTTCAAGGAGGAGATTCTGCAACATTTTCGGCAAAATGCGTACAAGTAAGTAGTTATGTGTTCAAGTTTTGCTTTGTGTGGGTTGTGATTTGTTGACAAAGCATTTGTGCAAATAGAGAGGAATCTTAGGGGAATTTGGCAGAAGATCTCGAGGCTACATAGTTGGAAGCTTTTAAGGTCTTTCAGGGTAATTTTATACTTCTCATTGTTTATGGATTAATTAAGGCAACAGTCGTGTAATTATTCTTTCTGTTGTTCATTATGATAATCATACATGAATTTCACCAAGAAAATACAACTCTGCTGTTGGCTTGCAAAGCTATATTAATAAAATAAAATTATGGCCTGTAGTCATTAAATAGGAATGTAGCTTACGGAGATATTCTGTAATTGCTTTACCTGACATTGGAAACAGTTCAGCGTGATGAAAAAATTGGTAAACACGTTGTTCTTTGCTTTCTTGTT